GGAAAATTGATAATCATTATCCTAAACACCCTCTGCTGCAGTTTGCTGCATGTCATCCCATTGTGTTTCCCCGAGTTACGTCTTCTGCCCCGCTAAAAGACGGGATGACAGTTTATACAGATGACTCCAAGAATGGTGTGGGAGCTTATGTTGTAGGTTCTAAAATATATACAAAGAACTTTTCTGCCACCTCGCCCCAGGTGGTGAAATGTATGGTGGTTTTAGAGGTTCTTCAAAGATTTCCTTGTCCCCTTAATATTGTTTCTGATTCTGCCTATGTGGTTAACGCTGTTAAATTATTAGAGGCCGCTGGAATTATAAAACCTACTAGTACAGTGGCAGCTCTTTTCCAGAGGATACAGGATTGCTTACTAAATAGGAGAGCTCCATTTTTTATCACACACATAAGAGCACATTCGGGGCTTCTAGGCCCAATGAGTTTGGGCAATGACCTGGCTGATCGCGCTACGCAGCTTGCTGCGGTAGCTCTTGCCTCCCCGTTGCAGACCGCTAAAACTTTTCATGATAATTTTCATGTTACAGCTGAAACCCTGCGCAAATGTTTTTCACTTACCAGAAAAGAGGTTCGCGATATTGTAACCCAATGTCACAGCTGTTGCCAGTTTCTTCCTATCAGACACACTGGCGTGAACCCCAGAGGGATTACGCCCTTGCAAATATGGCAGATGGATGTAACTCATATCACTGCCTTTGGAAAACTTCAGTATGTGCATGTGTCGATTGACACATGCTCTGGCATTATTCATGCCACACCACTTACAGGAGAAAAAACCTCTTATGTCATTCAACATTGCCTTGAGGCATGGAGTGCTTGGGGCAAGCCCACATCTTTAAAAACGGATAATGGGCCTGCCTATACTTCTCAAAAGTTTAAGCAATTCTGTGCACAGATGCAGGTCACCCACATTACAGGCCTGCCTTATAACCCCCAGGGACAAGGTATCGTAGAGCGGGCGCATCGCACACTCAAATCTTATCTACTTAAACAGAAAGGGGGAATATTGACAGAGCTGCCCCTGACGCCAAGGGTGGCCATTGCCATGGCTCTGTTCACCATAAATTTTTTAAATCTGGATGATAATGGCCAAAATGCTGCAACACGACATTGTTCGGATCCGCAGTGGCCCAAAGACTTGGTTAAGTGGAAAGACGTGCTTTCTAATGAATGGAAAGGCCCGGATCCCATTTTATTGAGATCCAGGGGAGCTGTTTGTGTCTTCCCACAGGATCAAGAAAGCCCATTCTGGCTGCCAGAGCGATTGACCCGAACAGTGAAGAGTGATCCACAACACACGGATTCGCCTGAGGACCTGGCTGCTGTTCCTCCTGCCATTTTGCGGACGGATGACAGAGCACCGATGGAGGACACTCTCAGCTTTCCCGAAGCTGTTACCAGTCAGCCATAGGATGGCGGTGTTTCCTCGATTTTTTACAACCAATAAGACTCTGGGCCCCCCCTACCGTCCTAGAGATGATTTACAAGCTTGGCCATAGGATTCCAGTCCTGGGTCGTGTCTTTCATCCCCTACTACAAAGAATGGGTGGGGGTGGAAATGTTTTGGAACGGTCCTGCTATGGAATAGTGTTTCTCCTCTGGATGGTCTGCTGACTCAAATCCCAAAGTCTTAGGGACGAAGTGGTTGTGGCACCAGCGCTGGCTGCCCTGGAACAGGGAGCCTCTACTGATATGTGGTTATCTATGTTAAAGCAGTAAGGTTTAAGCCAACCAGCTCCTGCACCCCTAGGACTGTGGTCCATGGCACAGGGTGGAGTGCTTGGCTTAGCTAGCCCTGAAGGTTGTGGAGCTGAAAAGCATCGCACAGAGAATGGCCCTCTATGAGAGATAAGTCGCCCTGCATAAGGGTTTCCTGCCGTATGTTCCCTTTCCCAGAAAAATGGCAGAGGGCAGGCCGGATAAGTTCCAGGTGTCATGAGCCTAGGGGCAGATTCCGTGTAAGCCCATTTTAATGTTTCCATTTTGGGAAGTGCGACCTCTATCTTTACCTTCTGAGGGAGTTGCCTTTCTGCAAAGAAGTAAAATTAGGGGGAGATGTAGAGGGCCACAGCCACATTCTCCATCACAAGATGGCGCTGACATCCGGCTTCACCGCCAGGTGAACGCACACGTGTTGGTAATTTTCCACTACTGTCCCCGCCTACTCCCAAGGCATTCACCTGGGATTATGGACAATTGACCAATCCAAGAGTGACACATCCCGAAGCAGGGTCTGTTTCATATATAAGGGATGGCTTCCTTCATTTCTGGGTCCCCGACCATGTTGGCTGATGCTCGCTCTCCCAAGGGGTATTAAAGCCATTCCTGCAGAAGGATCCTAGTGTTCCGCATGGTTCTTGCTGGCGAGGATAGCGTGGGACAAGCCCCCACTGCCGCAGTTCAGAATCCCGATCTCTGCTGGGGTCAGAGCTATAGCTGAGAAGCTTTGTGTGCCCCGCAGTGATTTTTTTCTTTCTTTTTCTGGAATAAAGCTTGCTTCTGTGTGACTCCCAGACCCAACAAGGACAGTCCCCAAAGATAAAGGTACTGGTATACAGAGTGAGTTACAGGGCAGTTGGGACTACACAGAGAAATCCTGTCTTAAGTAAAACAAACAACTACTACAAAAAAACCAAAACCAACAAACAAAAATAAGAAAACAAAGATTCGCCACTGGCTAAACAACTAAAGATTAACACAGCATCACACCCAGCTATGACACTCCTGACCTCACCTTAAAAACCTGCCAAAGTATTGGGCAGTGGTGGCACACACCTTTAAACCCAGCCTTCAGGAGGCAGAGGCAGGTAATTCGAGGCCAGCCTGGTCTACAAAGTGAGTTCCAGGACAGCCAGTAAATATTTAGGCTGACTCTACGTGTGCGTCTTTGGTACTACAGGCCCATGTGACCATTTGGGAATAAAGGATTAATTAATGGTCAAAAGCTCCCTAAGAAACGAAGGAACTGACGTCATCTTGCTAGCAGCACTGATGCTACCTCAAATGCAGCCATTACTCACTTGTAAGGATTAAAAAGACAACTCTTTTCGTTTTGTTTTGTTTTTCAAGACAATGTTTCTTTGTAGCTTTGGAGCCTGTCCTGGAACTCCCTCTGTAGACCAGGCTGGCCTTGAACTCACAGAGATCCACTTGCCTCTGCCTCCCAAATGCTGGGATTAAAGGTGTGCATCATCACCACCTGGCTTAAAAAGACAACTCTTTCACAAGCAAAGGAAATACTTGGCAGAGAAAGCCACCAAGTGGGAAACCTGGACAGCTGAACCAGATAAAATACTGGCGGTCACAATAGCCCAGTCTTTGAGAAGAAAAGATCTCCACCTCCCACAACTTTGATCAACATAAGTGATTCTTAAAATATAAAATATGGGGCTGGAGAGATGGCTCAGTGGTTAAGAGCACTGGCTGCTCTTTCAGGGGTCCAGCAATCATTCATAGTGGAACCTGATGACCTCGTCTGGCATAGAGTTCTACATGCAGCTAGAACACTCAAACATAAAAAAATAAGGTAAAATACAAATAGTCAACGAAAAGTGTTCAAACCCACCAGCCATAATACACAAATCAAAACTACAATGAGATTCCATTTTATCCTAGTCAAAATATCAGTCATTAAAAACAAACAAACAAAACCAAGAAATGCTGGCAAGACTGTGGACAAGCGGAACCTTTATACACTGCCCGTCGGACTGAATGTCCAGTCTCTATAGAAACCAGTAAAGAGGTTTCTCCAGAAACTAATGGTAGCTCTTCCATATAGCTCAGCTATACCACTTCTAGGTTTTTACTAAAAACTCCTGTATCACGGAGCCAGCTGCACATAAGTGGGTTTTCCAGCATTATTTACAAACAGTGATCATGAGTCAGCACAGGTGGTCAACACCAGAGGAGTGGATATGACAGGCATACATAGTGGGACTCTTACACTTTTTCACCTGAGCGTGTGTTCCTGCACACATGTGCATGGGGAGGTCAGAGACCAACGTTCAGTTCTCCAGTTCTCTCCTACCATATGGGGTCCAGGGCTCAAACTCAAGATTTTCAGCACTGGCAGGAGCTGTCCTTACCCACCGAGCCCTCTCACTAACCCCACAATAGAATTTTTCCAACCATAAAGAACGAAGTTTATGTCATTTGCAGGAAAATGGAAGCAACTGGATATAATCATATGAAGCAAATTACTCTCAGAGAAACATCACGTTTTCTCTGACTCGCGGTTCCTAGATGTTTATAGAGATGCATAAAATCATGTACAGAAATGAAACTATGGGGAAAAGGGAACAGGTGGGAAGAATTTAAAAAGCCAATAAGAGATATGGGGGTATGCTTAATATACCATATATACCTGTGTGAAAACTTTATAAAAAAATAAGTAAAAGGCATAACTCTAATCAAGAAAATAGAGGTGAAGCTGGGCTTGTACAGGCTTACAGAGTTCGAGGCCAGCACCAGCTTACACGGCAAGCTGCAGGCTAACCCAACTACCCAGAAAAGTCAATTTCAGAAAAAAAAAAGAAAATTCTGTTCATTCTGTGGCTCAAACCGGAAGTAACGGAGTAGACGCGATAATTCCGTGACGATATAACTGGAAACACCAGGCATCGCGAGGGAATTGGAGGCTCCCGGAGCCCGCTAAGGTAGCACGGGGGCGTGGCCAGCGGGGTGGGCCCCGCCTCCACACCCCAGTGGAGGGTCACGCGCGCGCCCGCCGGGCTTCCGGACTCCCGCGCGGCCTGAGACCCGCGATGCTCGGCAGAGGCGTGTCTCCTGACAAAGGAAGGCTGGAGCACAGCACCTGCTCGTTCTCCTCCACGCGTCCGCCGGGAGCAGCCTACAGGGATCAACTCAGAGAGGGGCTCGAGGCCCGAACCTATGCACCGGGGTCGCCACGGCCCGCGAGGTTTCCACCCTGACGCGGACACGACCCATCTCTCGGGCCCGCGCATCCCAGACCTTGCAGACATACCTGGAGGGGTTTAGTCTCCACCCGCGGTTCCGGGTCACGAAGCGCGTGGAAAGGGGGCCCTGTTACCCACTCGCGACGGCAGGTGGGGGAAGGGCGACCGCCGGTGTGTTCGCGCAGGCGCGCAGACTGTAGAGCGAGCGGCGGTACCCAGAGTCCTCGGAGTAGTGACGCGAGTCTCAGGACTACAATTCCCATAAGCCTCCGAGTCACGCTGCTAGGCACTCTGGGAAGTCTGCGAATGGTAGGGTGGAGACCGCTTTACAAGTTAACTGACTGCGGATTATGTTCTGCTCTCAGAGACAGTACTGTCTCTTTCCTCCTTGTGTGCTATTAAAAAACTGGGTTTTAGAAATGTCACGAGTAATCGGCTTAAACTCTTTTTCTTTTCTTTCTTTTTCTTTTTTGGTTTTTCGTGGCAGGGTATCTCTGTAGCTTTGGAACCTGTCCCGTCCTCTTGTAGACCAGGCTGGCCTCGAACTCACAGAGATCCTCCTGCCTCTGCCTGCTGAGTGCTGGGATTAAAGGTGTGCACCACCACCGCCCGACTCAAAACTCTTTTTCAACTACAAAACATACATTAAAGCAAATATCAACTTTAATCTCAACCAAGAATACACGTCTTTTTGAGCGTGGAAGTGCACCTTTTAATCCGAGCAAGTCAGGAGGTAGAAGCAGGCAGATCTTTGGGAGTTTGAGAACAGAGAGTTTCAGGCCAGCTAGGGCTACATAGTGAGACCTTGTTTTAGAACCAACCAACTCCCCACTACACACACACAGCAACAAACAAAACAAAACCACCATTTTTCTTAACCTCTTGGAAGGACTGCACCATCATACCTATTTATGTGGTGCTGAGGGTAGAACATGGGGCTGTGTGTGAGCACATTACTCTGTGTGAGCACACTACCAACTGAACTACATCCACTGCCGGAAATACCATTTTTAACTTCATTTACTTCCCATTAAACTTTTGGCGCGCCTTTGTCAATTACCTCCCCTGGACACTGTTGGTTGCTTGGTCTCCTTCTCAGTATGCTGCAATATGCCACTTAAACCCACACATCCACTCACCTGCTACTTTGTAATGCGCTTGGATGTACATAGTGACGGGGGCACTGCATGGGCGGACTTTTTAATTGTAATAACAGTGGCAGCTGAAAGTGGAGTATATATCCCAAGACATCAACAATACTGTGGGTTTTTCATGGAACAGTGACAAAAGTCTAATTTCTATTTACGTGCTCAAGTGTCATCATCTTGTGACACAATCACATCTCTGAAGACTATCACAGCCCCAGGTGTGCTGGCGCATGCCTTTAACCCCAGTGCTCAGAAGGCAGAGGCAGGTGGATCTCTGTGAGTTCCAAGCCATCCAGAGCTACATAGTGAGACCCTGCCTCAAAAACAAAACAACCAAACAAAACTGCACCATAGCAATGAGCCTTCTCACTGTACTTAGACTCCTTGTTTTTGGACTAGTTGTATTTCTAGGCAGTTGAGCTCATGTGCTGCTCCTGCAGAGGACCTCACACTAGCGTTGGATGGCTTACAACTAACTGTCCTGGAACTCCAGCTCCAGGGTATTTGGCGCCCACTTCTGACACCCATGGGTATCTGCATTCATGTGCACATACACACAGACATACAGATACAGAAATGATTAAATCTATTGGTGCTGGAGAGATGGCTTAACAGTTAAGAGCAGTTGTTGATTTTTGCAGAGAACCCAGAGGACCTGAGTTCAGTTCCCAGTTCCTACTTGATCCCTAATAACTATCTGTAATTCCAGTTCCAGAGGATCTGACACCGCCCCCTGGCATCCTTGGGCATTGCATGCACTTGGTGCACAGACATACATTAAGGCAAAACACACGCACACACATCTTAAATATTCATTAATAAAATGTTTTAAAATTAAATGTTTATTTAAAGTCCTTGCTCTTGCATTTTGACTGAGTCTTTTATCCAGTTGTGAATTTATGCCATCATTACTTGAGCATTTGAAAAATGACTCATTAAATCACATACTTCTACATGCTGATTTTTTTTCTCAAGACAGATTTCTCTGTGTAGCCCTAGCTGACCTAAAACTAGCTCTTGTAGACCAGGCTGGCCTGAAACTCACAGAGATCTGCCTGCCTCTGCCTCCCGAGTGTGGGATTAAAAGCATGCGCCACCACCGCCCAGCTATGAGGACAAACTTTATTACACGGTATCAAGCACCGTATTAATCCCACCAGCTTTCTCATCAACACTGGTTAAGCATGGGGCAACAGGATGAGCTTTTGTCCAAATTCTGTTTAACATAAAAGCTCATTTTATCATTGAGCAACAAATATAATCAGCAGTTTTCCTGGAAGTGACAGTTCCCTTCATTTAATTAAAAAACAACGTCATCAAAAGCACAGCATAGCCATTGTTTCCTCTCTGGTCATTCTTCAAGTCAGAATGGTGTTCCCGGGTTACGGGGATGGCTCAATGAGTAAAAAGCACTTACTGTGTAAGCATGAGGTGATGAGTTTGAACCCCAGAACCCATGGAATCCTGGACATTGGGCATATTTATAACCCCAGGGTTCCCACAGTGAGATGGGAGGTGGAGAAACAAGAACCCCAAAAGCTTCTGGGATAGCAAGCCTGGTATATGGAGAGACCCTACCTCAACAAGTGCTGAGGACCAGCACCCAAGCAGTCCTTCCGACCTGTATATGCTTGCTAGAGCAAGTACACGCCCACGCTAACATGCGTGAATGCAGACACATGAATGCTCACTGTGGTGGTTTGAGTAGAAATGGCCCCCCACAGACTCATCTATTTGAATGCTTTGTCACCAGGCAGTAGAACCCTTTGATGGAGGAAGAATGTCACTGGGGGTGGACTTTGAAGTTTGAAAAGCCCAAGCCAAGCCCAGAGTTGTCAGTCTCTCTCTCTCTCTCTCACTCTCTCTCTCTCTCTCTCTCTCTCTCTCTCTCTCTCTCTCTCTCTGTGTGTGTGTGTGTGTGTGTGTGTGCTCCAGCATCTGCTTGCATGCCTACATTCTTCCTGCCATGCCGATAACAGACTAAACCTCTGAAACTGTAAGCAAGTCCCCAACTAAATGCTTTTTCTTACGGTTGTTGCCTTGGTTGTGTCTTCACATCAATAGAACAGTGCCTAAGACACTCAAACACACACTTGATGCACACACATGCACACGTAAATGTACCCACACAGACACATGAATGTACATACACACTGCGTTCTATAAGAAAAGTAGAGCATCCATCTCTCTGCTTCCTGAATGCAGATGTAATGTTATCAGCTGTCTCGTGCTCTTGCCTTCACACCTTCCCTGCCATGATGACCTCAAACTGTGAGCAGAAAGAAACCTTTCCTTCCTTAAGTTTGTCTTTGCCATAAGGAGAAGAAAATTAAGTAATGCTGAAACTTGGTACCCAGCAGTGAGGTTATTGCTGTAATAAATCTGACCATGTGGTCCTTTGGAACTGGTTTTCGGGAGGAATATGGAAGTTGCATAGAAAAGCAACTGGAATGCAGTAAGCAGAACTTACTTAGGCCATTCTGATGGGAATTCAGAAGACTAGAATCCCAAAGGAAATGTGGCTAGTGGAGACCTCATGGGCTTTCATAGCAAACAAAGACCTTGTCAAGAACTGGACTGAAGCCTTCTGGATTCTATTCTCACAAAGAGTAAGGCTGCATTCTGTCCATGTACTGAGAACTTGAGTGAAACAATTTTACAGTAAAGGACTCATTTGTTTGGTAGAGAAATTTTTTTTAAATTTTTTTTATATATTTATTTATTATGTATACAATATTCTATCTGTCTGTCTGCCTGCAGGCCAGAAGAGGGCACCAGACTCCATTAGAGATGGTTGTGAGCCACCATGTGGTTGCTGGGAATTGAACTCAGGACCTTTGGAAGAGCAGACAATTCTCTTAACCGCTGAGCCATCTCTCCAGCCCTGGTGGAGAAAATTTAAGGCATGGCAGCATTCAGACTGTGATATGGTTACTGCTCACTGCTTTTACTCAGATACATAGCGAGAGACAGAAAGACGGGGGAAATGTTTGGTCTAGTGAGGAAGGGGTGAGAGCAAATTTAAAGGCACAAACAAGGAAGATGTAGACAAAGCATCTGGAATTGCTGAAGACATTAATGCCATTCAAGGTGAGCCTCTTGCTCTGCACTGGGATAACAGGTAAGGTGCCCAGAAGGCAAGACCCACCCATCTAAGGCTCCAAGTTGTGAAAATGGAGAGCCGAAATTGAGAATGCTACCACCGGGGGATTCTCTGCTCCACAATGGCTGACTAGGAAAGTGTTTTTAGGGCTGGAGAGATGGCTCAGAAGTTAAGAGCACTGCCTGTTCTTCCAGAGGTCCTGAGTTCAATTCCCAGCAACCACATGGTGGCTCACAACCATCTATGATGAAATCTGGTGCCCTCTTCTGGTGTGCAGGCATACATGCAGGCACAATGCTGTATACATAATAAATAAATAAAGTTTAAAAAAAAAAGAAAGTGTTTTTATTGGGTCAGGGCACAAGATACATCTCAGCTTGCAAACAGAACTTGACTATGTCTTCTGTATAGTACTGGTTTTGAAGATAAGAAAGATGCAAGAGTAAGGGGGAGGGGGTCATAGAGTTTGTGCCAAAGTTCCAGAAAGCTGTCTAAGCCATTCGATATGTGGCAGAGTCTGACTCTTTGTAGGAAGGCCATACAGATCATCACGCAAAGGTCTGAAGGTAAAGCCGAACACTGGAGCGGAGGCTCCAGGATGTTGGATACGCCAGATCTGATGAGAAAAATCTGCAGACATGGGAGTGGAGCCTGCCCAAGACAGAGGGAACGTGAACTTCAGGCAATGGAGCTGGATGGGCAGAGCTGTCCAGAGCTGTTCGTGTCCAGATGGTCCCAATTTGAGTCCCAGATGCCAGATGTGGAGTTGCAGGGTTTGGTGTTTTCCCCTGTTGGGTTTTGATCTTGCTTCAATAAACATTTTCTTACTACCATTCCGTTCTTTCATTCTGGACTGGAAAAGTTTATTCCATGTCATTGTTTATTGGAAGTACGTAGCTTGTTTTATTTTATACAAACTCTCAGTTAAGAGACTGCCGTGACTTTAGGGAAGCTGTTGGGGCTCTTGAACAGTGTTGGAACTGTTAAGACTTTGGGAACTTTAAAGATGGGCTAAATGAACTTTGCATTATGAGATGAACAAGGACCTTTAGGGACCAGAAGAGTGGAATTAATTATTTAAAAGTGATGTGCTTGTGTAACCATCCTTACAGGAATGAAGCTATTATAAACAGATACTGTGTTCCTCCCTCAGGCTATCAGGATATTGAGACAATGGACCTCAAGCCGGAAAGAGCAAAAAACTGGGCTTTTAGTGCCCACCAGAGGCAGAGCTGGTCTTCCAGAAAGAGATTTCATACAATGCTGACAACTGGTCAGCCCACTTTGCAGGAGAGACCAAGACAATGACACCCCTCAGCTAGGATGGATTAGCTGATTGATTCTCTTCCCCTGTTTAAACCTCATGCTAGGACGCCAAAGATGGCTTGGAGGTGGGTGAGCCGCCGAACCTCCTGGCTTCTCTTCCTAGTGTGGTCACATCTAATAAATCTCACCCTGCTTTTCAGTATTATTTCTTTGTAAGCAGGGCTGTTGGCAGTGGGCGGCTAAGCCTGGCTTGTTAGGCGCTGCCAGGGCTCAGGCATTGGCATTGGCCCTAACAACGCCAAGTCACAATTTCAGTGACATAACCAGGAAGATACTCCCCCCGCCCCCCCCGCCCCCCCCCCCCGGTGGTGGCCACTGGAACAAACTGACCTCAGATAAATAAGGAAAATGGAAGGGCCCCACAGCTCCCGGAGTCACTTGATTCCAGGGACTTTCCCTTTCTTCCCATTTCCGGGGCATCAGCTGCTTTTTAGTTCTATCGGATAAAGCAGAGAAATAAGTATTCGGGTTTGTTTTGGATTTCTAAAAAATAAAAAAATTGACCCTTAGTGAGTTTCTTCCCAGTCAGTGTACCCCAGGGTTTGTCTTCTTGTTGGTTTGGGGCTCCTTTAAGATAGTTAGGTTTGTTTTGAACCATCCTGGTAACTAGTATTTGGTGACTGGCTTTGTCTTTTAGCAATCTCAACTGTTTGAGCTCTGTTGGACCATTTGGGATATTTTGCCACTGTATGACAGGCCTTGTCAAACTGGAAATTGGGGGGGGGCCTCTGCTGAGCCAATTGGGGTTCTGTTCAATCACTTGAGACAGAGAAATGAGGCTATTAAAGAAATTGTCCCTGTGATTTATGTAACCATAAAGAATGTTACATTTTTTACTATCTTGGTGCCCTCAGGAAGATTTCTGGTCAGTGTTTTGTATGTTCATGTTGTTTTGTTTTGTTTTGTTTTCTGGACAGGGTTTGTCCATGTAGTCCTGGCTGTCCTGGAGCTCTCGCTCTGTCGAGCAGGCTGGCCTCGAACTCAGAGATCTGCCTGCCTCTGCCTCTGCCTCTGCCTCTGAAGTGCTGGGATTAAAGGTGTGCACCACCATGTGCTTGGCTGGCTCAGATGATTTTAAGGCATGGGAGCCATGACTTAAGCTGTTCCTGATAAACCTCTGGCCACTTCATCTTGCATTTCTTTTTTTTTAAAGATATATTTTTATTTTCTGTGTATGAATGTTTTGCTTGCATGTATGTTTGTGCCTGTGGAGGCCAGAAGAGGGTGCTGTGTCCTCCGGAACTGGAGTTGGAGCTGCTTGTGAACCATTAAATGGGTGCTGGGAAATAAATTTGGGTCTTGAGAAAGAACAGCAGGCGCTCTTACCTGCTGAGCTGGCTTCCCAGCACTCAGTTTTGCATTTCTGTTTTCAAATTATCTGTGCTAAAATTATTAGTCTCATCTTGTCTAATTTAAACTGTACGTTTGTATGACTGTATTTGGGGGACAATGTTTGGATCGTGTCAATATATAGTGGCTGTTGTCCTGTCTATACTTTTTCCTCTATTCCTTTGAAAACAAGATTAGTTAAAATGTAGGAATTTTTCTAGTCAACAGGAGAATTTGAGAATGGAAACAAACAGTCATACAGAACTTTTACATAGTCAGGTCTAGCTATGGTTTTAATGAAATGTTAAAGTGAGTTTGCTTCCTGGTAGACTGTTGGAACTTGGTGCTTTCAAACATTAGCTCTGGCACTGGAGGCATGCCTCAGAGGTATCAAGCACTGATTGTTCTTCAGGAGGCCCTGAGTTCAATTCCCAGCAACCACATGATGACTCACACCCCTTAGAACACTGTATACATAATAAATAATTTTTAAAAAAAAATATTTAAAAATGTTAATTCTGGGAACTGAGGCAAATAAATTTGAGTGTATGTGTGCATCATACACACACACACACACACACACACACACGTGTACTATATAGCACTTGTATGAAGGTCAGAGGACAACTTGCTGGAGCTCGTTCTCTCTTTCCCCCTTGTGGGTCCCGAGGATTGAACTCATGCACCAAGCGGAGAAATGACTGATATTCTGTCTGTGATACTTACCTCAGACACAGGCGTGTGTAGTATACCTCAGGGCCTAGTGAATGTGCCAAGGTCATGAGCCTGGCCTGAGCTCTGAAAAGAAAAGGGAAACTAGAGCCTAGAGGTCAAGGAGGAGGTGGGAAGTGTAGACGGGAGAGTCCGAGGGGTCAGTGGAACTTCCAAAGCCTACCCGTGCGGAGTTTGTGTTAAGGGCTACCGGAAGCAGCTGACTTTTAGGGCACGCAAGTGGCTGCTGTCCTTGTTTCCAGATCTGCAGGAGCCACCTTAAGCTGGCTCCACCTTAAGCAGGCTCCACCCAGTGCGGCCATTGGACCCAGCTAGCGGCTGGTTGGCACTGCCTCCTCCCCTTCCCAGTACTCTCACCTTAGCTGCGGTTTGGTTATGGCCATGTTTCTTCGGGTGGCAACCCAGAGGCTGTCTCCCTGGAGGGGCTACTGCTCCAGGGGGTCACAGGTATATGTCTATGTGTGGATGGGGTCCTGGAGGGTGGGGAGCCTGGTGCGAAGTGCTCGAGGGTCTGTGACGTCATCTCTTGCACTCTGACCGGCTCCTGTTCTCCCCTCCTGCCACAGGGTAGGGCTGTAACTTCTGTTATCTTTCCTATGACACTCGCACACTGCTTCTTCCTGGCAGGGTGGACTCAGTCAGGACTTTGTGGAAACTCTGAAGGCAGTTGTAGGGAGCCCCCACGTGTCCACTGCTTCTGCCGTCAGAGAGCATCACGGGCATGACGAGTCGATGCATAGGTATCAGAAGCTTCTGCTGGGACTGAGGGTCCTGGGCTGTCCTGGTCTCTTGCCACCTGTTTGGAATGTGCTGGCGTTCTCTTTAGAGAGGGGTTCTCTGTTCCAATCCGCTGAGGCCCTGTCCTCAGGTCCTTGGAAAACTCCAGGTTCCTGGAAATGAGAGGCTAGGGGCTGGAACGCCTTTCGAAACTTCTGAGGCCTGCCTGCTTCTAGGTGCCAACCTCCCGATGTTGTGGTGTGGCCTCAGAATGTGGACCAAGTCAGCCGCCTGGCAACCCTGTGCTACAACCAAGGTGTTCCCATCATCCCGTTTGGCACTGGCACCGGTGTTGAGGGGGGAGTCTGTGCTGTACAGGTATAATGGGGTGCTCCACCTGTCATCCTAGAGCTCTGGCATGACTGCTGGGGGCCTCAGCCACAAAATGGGGTCCTAGGGGCTGCTCCTGGCCTGGAGACCGAGTTGGGCAGCTTTCTTGGCTTCCCTGCTACCAGGGTGGAGTGTGCATTAACCTGACCCATATGAACCGAATCACTGAGCTGAATACAGAAGATTTCTCCGTGGTGGTGGAGCCTGGTGTCACCCGAAAAGCTCTCAATACCCACCTGCGTGACAGCGGCCTTTGGTTTCCTGTTGGTAGGCCCGGGACTAACCAGTTCCTCAGGGTCCTGAGGTGTTGGAGGGGCTGTTTGGGGGATTTCAGAGGACCCCATCTTTCCTACAGGGAAAGAGCTTCCCAAGTTGCCCTCTCCAGCACTTTATCCTTTAGACCCAGGTGCAGATGCTTCTCTGTGTGGCATGGCAGCCACTGGGGCCTCAGGCACCAATGCTGTGCGCTATGGAACCATGCGGCACAACGTGATCAACCTGGACGTGGTGCTGCCTGATGGCAGGCTGCTTCATACTGCAGGCCGAGGACGCCATTACAGGTGAGGGATACTTAGGAGGGCCCTGGAACCCTGGAGGGCCAGAGACACTGACTCTCCCTGTGCAAGGCCAAGCCAGGTCATTAAATCACAAGCACTGTGATGATAATTGGGGCTGTAGGAGATCAGTCCAAGTCTGTCTCCTAGCTTTATGCTTCTAGACAGAATCACATGTCCTGGGCACTCACCTACCTTATGTGTCCCTGGGTCCAGGAAGAGCTCGGCTGGCTACAATCTCACAGGACTCTTCGTGGGCTCAGAGGGGACTCTGGGCATCATTACTTCTGCCACCCTGCGCCTGCATCCTGCTCCTGAGGCCACAGTGGCAGCCACCTGTGCATTCCCCAGTGTTCAAGCCGCTGTGGACAGCACCGTTCAGATCCTTCAGTCTGCAGTGCCTGTGGCTCGCATTGGTGAGCAAGAAACTGAGTCAGCTGGGGTGGGTTCTATAGAAAAGGCCCCCAGAGAAGGTCAGGCCTCACCGAAGTAGCCCTCTCCCTGGTTCCAGAGTTCCTGGATGACGTCATGATGGACGCCTGCAACCGACACAGCAAACTGAACTGCCCTGTGGCACCCACCCTCTTCTTGGAGTTCCATGGCTCCCAGCAGGCATTAGCAGAACAGGTGCAACGCACAGGTGCGCTGGGGAGGGGAGCGCAGTGGGGCCTGGGCTGTCCTAGTGCAGGACTAAGGGTCAGCCTTTCTGTTCCTACAGAGGCCATCACTCAGGATAACGGGGGCTCTCACTTCTCCTGGGCCAAGGAGGCTGAAAAGCGCAGTGAGCTTTGGGCGGCACGGCACAATGCTTGGTATGCAGTCTTGGCCCTGTCTCCTGGACGGAAGGTGAGCTGGGGGCCGGGGTGGAGGTGGGATCGATAGTTCAGGTCATAACCCCTTTCCTCAACCCATGATCCAGCACAGAGAAGGCTGAGGCTCCCCAAGGGCTAGCTGGGTGGTCATGAGGACTAGGACTGTAGACCATCGCACCTAGGACTGCACCTTGCACCCCTGACCAGCCGAGAGGGAGAATAATGTCATGCCGAAAATTTGGGAATTCTTGATGTGAGCCAGCTCCAGGTGCAGGACTGAGTGCTTAGGAATTTTAAACATGGAGGAACAGCCTCCGGGAAAAAATGGAGAGCAAGGAGGTAGTCTACCCAGAAGAGAAAGCTGGGCTCTGGGCAGAATACACAGAAGTTCAATAGTGTGGGGTGCTGGGAACCTGCATGTGGTCCAGGCTTGAATCCAGGGGAGTAGTGGAGACCTGAGCTAATAAACACACCAAGGCTAGTGGGCTGGAGGACAGATGTTTCATTCAATGGCATCAAGATTCCCTGGACTGGTCCAAAGCCCGAGTCACAGTGGTCCCTTACCTTTAGGTAGGCAGTGGGCAACAGGGAGAACCACTTAAGCTCGCCTTCTGATTCAGGCCTATTCTACGGATGTGTGTGTGCCCATCTCCCGGTTGCCGGAGATCTTGGTAGAGACCAAGGAGGAGCTTAAGGCCTCAAAACTCACAGGTTCTGTTCTACGAAATTCCTGTTTGGGAGGCATTGGGGTTGGCTAGTGTCTGGGCAAGGAGGTCAGAGGTGACAGCTTTGTTCTCTGGGTCCCCAGGAGCCATTGTTGGGCACGTGGGTGATGGCAATTTTCACTGCATCATACTGGTCAACCCTGATGATGTGGAAGAGCAGAGCAGGCTCAAGGCCTTTGCAGAAAATCTGGGCAGGTAAGGGCCGAGTCAGGGAGGGGTGGGTGTTGGGGAGGGTAGGGGCAGCCGAGAAGGGATTGCTGAGGATTCCATTTGGCCTCCTAGGCGTGCCCTGGCACTCCATGGGACATGCACGGGAGAGCATGGCATCGGGCTGGGCAAGAGACAGCTGCTGCAAGAGGAAGTGGGCACTGTGGGCATGGCGACTATGCGGCAGCTCAAAGACACACTGGATCCCAGAGGTCTCATGAACCCAGGCAAAGTGCTGTGAGGAACTTGAAACCATCGGCCTACAATCCCCAGAATGCAGAGCCCATTTGCGACCTTCCCTTCATGCAGCTGGCTTTACAAGACAGAATGACTGATGCTATCTGTGCCTGCCAGGTGTCTCTGTGTAGCTGACTCTCAAGGTGAAGGTCAAGAGGATGGACTTACAGGGAACTACTTTCCTTGCCGCCCTTAGCCTTTTGCTCCAGCGGAGTTTCTTCCTGGCTGGCAGAGATGGTGTGGGTCTCCTCCCAGAGTAAGATCAGATCCCTCTGTGGAGGCCTCTCCCGCTAGTGTCCAGCATCATCACGGCTCATCCTCGACACAGGGACAGGATCACTCCTATACATAGGGAAGGAGCCTTCATTCCACACTGTTAGCCCTTCTCCTTGTCTGCCAGTGCCCATGAATGTGAACCCTATTTGCAGCTGTATCCTGTACCCTTTGGTCTCTGACCTTGGACTAATGAGCCATTTGTCTTGGGCCTGTCCTCTTGGACCGATAGTAGCCTGGGGAAGTGGCTCAAGTTCAGGCTCTGGAAGAAAGCCTGTCCCAACCCTCCTGCATTTGCATACGGAGGCAGAAGACCCACCTGTGCAGGAGGTCACTTAGGACAGCTTCCCCACCAGGTTTAGACTGGAACACTCTCTTCAAGCTGCTGCCACGTAGGCTGTTAGAAATGGAGGTGAGCTGATCCTCTATGTACCACCCGTCTCCATGGTGTAATGCACCATCCACCAACTTTTACCTTCAAAATCAGCAACACCAGCTTTTACCTTCAAAATCAGCATACTGCCTATTTGGGGGCCTGGTAATTTTGAGATTCCCAGATCAGAGCGCCTGTCTGGAGGTACGTGGGAGTTGTTCCTCAAAAGTCCACAAGGGGGCGCGTGACACCACAAATCTGAAAAATAGCATCTTGTAGTTCCTACCTTCCAGGGTCAGGTGGCCAGTCTCAAGACCTTTTACCCCTGTGGGTCCCAGTCAACTGTAGTACCATCTCCCCTACTCCTAGATTTTTGGGTTGGAAAAACAAAACAGGAAGGAGCCACGGACAGGGGAAGTAGCAGCCTCTCAACCCCTCGCTCTAACCACTTTTCTCCCACCATGCTCCGGGAAGAGGCCGCCACCCTGTTACTTTTTCAGTCCAACTTCAGTAACAAGAACCCCCTTTCTGTGATGTCCATCTCATGGTTCTCTCCCAAACCACTTCAGGATGTAGAAATCCAAACATCAGTTGCTCAATCACCAGAGAACGAGAAGGCTCTAGTGAAGCTGCCCCAGAAAGATTGTGTGCCTCTCCCATAAGCCCTCCCAAATTGAGTTCCGTTGGGCAGAGCTTCTAGACACACCCTCCAGTAACAAGCAACTAGCAGACACTCAATAAACAGTCGTTTCCCCACAATTTCTTTTATTAAAGAAAATTCCAAACATACAGAAAAATTGAAAGAACAAGTACACTATTCACTGAAATATCAGTCGTTGAAGATTCAACAATGGACATTTTTGCCTTATTTGCTTTGAGTATTTTTGGGGGGAACCATTTGGAGTTAGATTATACATTGCTTGAAATCACTCAGCTATATAGCTCAGCATCTATCTCCTAAGAAGGACATTCTCCTATGAGCTTCAATACTATTAAATGGCTATTAGATGGGTGGTTTCCAAAAGGGGTTCCCGGAGCTCTCAGAAAGCTTTCTGGGCTCCTGGCGCAAAGGGGAAGAACCCATCTCTTGGCTCTTCCATATTTTCTTCCCTCTCAGAAAGGCAGAGCAGGAGCAACATAGGATTCTAGAGAGTGGTCTGGATGGCAGGTGACAAACACAAGTGCCACCTGGGAAGCCCAGACAAGCCTATTCCACCCTCACACCAGGCACCGGCAATCTGGGTCCAAATCCAGAGGACGTGACAGCCAACAGAGGGCTTTGGTGTGCCGGGTGGGGGCGGAAGTCACTGGGGATGAGATGAGCACCGCCTAGAGAGCCTAGAATAGCACCCGGAGTGAGGCCCAGCGCTGCCCCAACCAACTCAACCACCGGACTCAGCCACAGCTCCGCCAAAGCAGCCGGGCTCACACAGCCAAGGTGGGCACATGAAGCCTGTCTCCAGGCCCAGGGGTCAGGCAAGGAGATCGCTTTCAGAGCTGGGCCCTGCCCTGCCAGTTCTGCTGGTAGGATTATATATAGAACAGGGAGACACAGTAGCCAGGCAGAAGCTGAAGGTGCTGGGGATAGAACAGTGCCCTTTGCAGTGACAAAGCTACAAGGAAGCCTGCTGCGTATGTGCCAGGCCTTTGGGGCAGATCCCTGACCCTCACTCGACTGAGCTGCATCACTGTGTCCCCACTTCACATGCAAGGAATCAAGTTCAGATGAAGTTACTGCCTCACCATTCTGCCAAGAAGTAAAATGCCCCCAGCACAGACACTGCAGTTTCTAGTATTAACAGTGCTCACAGCTCAGGGCCCGAGCTCTCAACACTCAGACTCTAAAGCATTCAGTTCTCTGAGCCTGCCTGCCTGCCTGCCTGCCTGCCTGCCTGCCTGCCTGCCTGCCTGCCGGGCTCACATATGCCCACTGGCCGACAAATGTCCGCACAGAGTAGGTACTTCAGGAAGCATCTGAGGCAAGGTGACCTCAGAACAAGAATGGTAGCATAGTCCAAACTTGAGGGCCTGTTGGAACTGGGCCCTGAGGCAGCAGTACGAAGGGCAGGTCTGAAAATGGCCATGGCACAGATAAGTAGCCACCTCCCTCCAGAGCTTTCCTTAGCTGGCTCTGAAGGAGGCCCTGAAATGCAACTCCTAGAACCTGGCTAGGAGACGGGGCAGGTATTTTGCACTGCCGCCTCTGCCCTGAGTTCCCTGCCCAGCCTGCAATTTGCCAACGTTTATGAGGCTGAGTGGCTGGTTCTGGCTTAGACACTGTGAGCTGGCACAGCTCCAAACCAAGGCCTCTTTCTGGGCCTCAGTGAAGCATGCCCATGAGTCAGCACTGAGCTGTGGATGGAGCATCAGGCAAGCAGAATACAGGATGGGGAGCAGAGGCTGTGAAGGGTGGGCAGGGTTGGCACCTGGAGGTGCCCACATCCTTGCAGCACCTGATGACTGCAAGACCTTGGCCCCTGAATATCTTTCCAGAAACATCCCCTCACAATCAGCAATGATAGTAGACTGACAGTTACTTAAGAATTCATTAACTTGAAAGCCATACCTGAACCTCCATCGCCCAGCCTCGGCCCAGGTGCGGCTAAGAGCCACTCCAGGTGCTAAGGGAGTGCTGAGCTGGGAAGGTGGACAGAGGGAACTGGTCTCTGACCTCTACTCCTTGACTGTGTAACAACACTTCATTAAAATAAGATCACACAGTGTATCTTTTATAGATATTATTTTAATACCATATCAAAACACCTTGACTGATGAAAAGCTTTTCTCCCGAGCTTTGAACATTTTTAAAATATTTTATAAGTTTTTTTTTGTATTTTAATATATAAACACAGAAACCTATCCTGCATGGGCTGATGCCACGTGTGAATATCAATGGCTAAAATGTTCTCAGTGTGCCTGAAAACGGGGAGCAGTACATGTTCCTTTAATAAGTCTTATGTTTTCTCAAGGGAAAACAAAACAAAACCACAAGGGCCTAAGAAAAATGTCCAGGCTTTTTTTCAGTGTATTTGTGATTGTTAAATCCTCTGATTGGACCAGATCCAGGACGAAAGGCAGGAAAAACATGGGGATGGAAGGGGAAGCGTCCTTGATGGGCTCTTCTTCATCTTCCTTTTCTTTTTTTGGCAAGGAAATCAAGGTACCAGGGTACTAAGAGGAGAAAAGTGCAAAACGAAGCCAGAAAGATGGGACAGAAAAACAACAAAACAAATCCCCCAAAGTAGAAAGGTTGGTGACGCAGAGAGTCAAGTGGGGTGTTGGGCAAAGGAAGTGACCGAGTGCCCGCCCGCTCTCAGAGTGCTAGTGGTGAAGACATGGCTATGCTTGGTTCTGTCACTGAGCGGGTTTTAGCTGGGCAGCAAACAGCAATCTGTAAACATCACGAGGAAAACACCAGTCGACACTAGACTTTTTTTTATATAATTTTTTGTTGTTGTAAACACTTTAAAGACAGACCCACAACGCCTTTCAAAGGTGAAAAAGAAAATGCCCTTTCCCTCCTGGGTTGACGGTGAGGGGAAGGATAGAGGTCAATTCATTCTTCTCTCAGACTCGCTCTCATCCAGTTGGTGTCCTCAGGGAGGAGGGAGGACCATTTTCAGGAAGTCAGTGCAGAAGGGATGCCCTGTTCCCTCTGGTGTCCCAAGCTCAGCTCTGCCCAGTGTCTGAGGAGCTCCTCCCAGGAACAGGGCCGTCTGTCCTGTGGTCGGAAGAAGCCAGTCGTGCTCCGTCTCGTCAGAGCGGCTGCTCCATCTCACGGTGGCAGCAGCGTGTCCCTCTGAGGGCAGGCTGGTCGGCTGGGGCGTCTGGTTCAGTCCAGGAAGGCCCCAGAAGCCAAACATCATGCGGGCCATTTGGACCTGCATTTTGAAGCCAGGGTCCAGTCCCCTGCCTCACTCTCACCCTTGCTTTGTCTTCTCCCCTTGTCATCAGATTTTGAGGTGAAGGTAAAAAGAGCAAATGTCCCTGATTTGCCTGACACCGTCAGCTGGTCTGGGCATTTACTTGGAATAAATAAAATAAACCTAACAAAAGAAAACAGAACAAGGAGAGAAAGAGAAGAAAGGCAATCCCCCCCAAATCTTTGGATGTGAGATGAAGTAGAAATGGGCTATTGGTTTTTCTGGGACTTATGTTCTGATTGCCAAGGGCGGGGGGAGAAAGAGAGAGAGACAATATGCCAGCATAGACCTCAGAAAGCACATGGTGGGGGACTGGAGAGGGGTCAGCAGTTAAACAAGGTTCCCTGGGGAGGAAATGAGCAGTTGCGTTGGAGACACATATGCATGTGTGGGAGGGGCTGTCATGCTGGCCGCTGCTACTGTGACACTGTGCAGTGGACGGAAGGGCTGAGAGTGGCCTGGAGCCCTCAGGTGGAAGAACAGCAGTGAACAGATCTCAGACAAGCACTGGGCAGTGGACAGTGTACGTTCCACAGCCCCTCTGTTTAGTGATTCTCCCATTTCTAAAGAAACAGAGCCTCGGGAGCCTCCGAGAGGCAAGCGGCGAGCAAGGAGGAGACAGCTGCTGTAAGGAGACAGCTGCAGAGCCCAACTGGGCTCCCTTGCTTCAGCCCACGCGCTCTGCAGGGGATCCTTCTGCCTTTCCTCAGGGAAAGGAGTGGATTCTACCTTTGCACTGAGTTCTTCATGAGCGGGTTACGATCCCTCTCTTATGTTTCCCCAGGAAAATCAATCCCTCCACATCCTGGGAACTGCTCACTGCGTTCTTCTTGGAGGGGTGTATATCAGGCAGCCTGGCCCCTCTCCCCAGTGCCCAGAAACTTTACTCTGTAAGCCCAGAGCCCCCACCGAGTGTGGGCTCACCTTTGAGAGGAGTCAGCAAGCCAGCCCAGCAGGGTCAGTCAGCAGGGTGCTCTGGACAAGATCTGTTGACTTCAAACCAGGAGTCTATGCAGCTGGAGCAGGTAAAAAGGGAGACACGTCAGCTGCTGGCAACACTGCTCCTGCCAAGGGGGCTGTCAAGGGGCTGGACTCTCGGGAAGGGCTTTCCAAATCTTTCCTGAAGGGACCCCAGGGAGAAATGATTATGCCCCCCTCCACCTCCCGGAAGCAGGAAGACTATCAAGAATGATCTGAGGACACAGAGGCAGAGGGCAGTAGCTGAGAGTGCACGCTGCTCTGCTAGACAGCACCCTTGTCTTTTGGTTCACACTCGCCCCATAAGTGCAGCCCCAGGGGATCTGATCCCTCTGGCCTTGGTAGGCCCCTGCACTCAGATGCACATACACATAGATGCACAGACAATACACAATTTAAAGTTAACACACACACACACACACACACACACACACACACACACACACGATCCTGGAGGTTGGGGAAATGGCTCAGTGGGTAAGAGACCTTGCTGCTCTTTCAAAAGAGCCAGGTTTGGTTCCTAGCATTCACATAGTGGCTCACAAACATCTTTAACTCCAGCTAATAGGGATTCAATATTCTCTTCTGATCTCAGTGGGCACCAGGCACATACATCATATAAATACATGCAAGCAAAATATCCATGCACATCAAATAATAAAATAAGCTGGGTGTGGTGGTGGTGCACAATTGTAATCCTAGCATTTGGGAGGCAAAAGCAGGCGATCTCTAAGTTCAAGGACAGTCTAGTGTAGAGTAAGCTCCAGGATAGCTGAAGCTACACAGTGAGACCCTGTCTCGATAAATCAAATAAATCTTTGGGGAAAAAAAAATGCTCCTGGCTCAGCAGAGGCAGCAGAGCAAGTATAGACTCTGGTCCATCTGGTTTTGCAGAAAGGGCAAGAGAGGCCCAAAGTCAAAGTACAAGAAGCCCAGGACAGCAACAGTTAACACTAAGGTGAGTGCAGGCGGACTACATAGAGCAGCAGGTTAACTGGCTCAAAGGCGGGGCAGGAAGTGGGACCATATGAGAGGCTGGCCAGTGATAAGCATGACCAGATCGGGAATGATGAGGGCAGCCCTCTCAGGAGCTTGGCTACAACAGTAGGAAGGGAAGCTAGACCCTTGGGCTCTCTGACATTGCTAAGTGAGCCTGGGAAGGGGTTAAGTAAGGCCTCAACTTCCAGTGTTTATAGAGGGCTGTCTGCATCAAAGAAGAAACAAGTGCCCCAAGACACTGTCCTGATTTGTAAACCCACATCTCAGCATTTTCAAAGAGAGTAACCAAACAGGTAATTTGCTTAGGGCCAAGGGTTTTCTTTACTGGCTCTGATTAGCACCTCTCTGGAGGGTGTGTGGTGAAAACCACATCAAGAACCACAGTTCTGGGCTGGAGAGATGGTTCAGAGGTTAAGAGCACTGGCTGCTCTTCCAGAGGTCCTTGGCTGCTCTTCCAGAGGTCCTGAGTTCAATTCCCAGCAACCACATGGTTGCTCACAATCATCTGTAATGACATATGCTGCCCTCTTCTGGCCTGCAGGAACATATGCAGGCAGACCACTGTATACTTAATAAATAAAAAAATCTGTATATATATAAACCTTATCTTGAAAAACCAAAACCAAAAAAAGATTTTATTTAAAAAAAAAAAAAAGAACCACAGTTCTCTCAGGCCAATCACACACCAGGCACAGCCGTGAAACTGAAGACCAGTAGTCCTGGGCTGGGCTTAGAAAAGCCCCAGTGCCAGTGTGGGCCGGAGGAGCAGAGAGCAGGTGGTGGCCACAGGAACACAGGGTGTGCTCCTGTCCTGTCCTGGGCAAGGAGGTGTCTCCTTTCCAGTTAGGGAAAAACCAGCAACAAAGGCAACTGCTGAAGGCAGAGGACAAACTTTGGCCTGGCTAATTATAGCAGGGCTCAGGACTTACAGGTAGTGCCTTTTCCTGCCTCCCTTGCAGGAGGAGGGTGCCGCACAGGCCAGCAAGGACAGCTGTTCTACCCTTGCTATCTCTCTCTGCAGGGCAGGGTTCAGAGGGAAGGGAGCCAAGCTCCAGGTGGGATCCTGTATACCTCCAAGCCAGGTCTGCCCACAGCTCCTACCATCTGAACTGCTGAAGCAGAGCTGAACCCTGAGCAATTCACCTCTGCCCTGCCCTTGCAATGACTGAGCCCTCCGTCACTACAGTAGATGCCTGACCCCTTTCAGATAGCAAAGGGTACAAACCATCCTATAAGCAAAGAGGACTGGATGGCTGGTGAAGGCGATCTACCCCTTGGATGTGGGATTTGTCAGAGTTGTTCTTGCCAAGCCCTTGTACCTTTTGTGATAGATGCACAGGCAAGGCAGCCTGGCTATCGTGTCCCCCTGAAGCAGCTCCTCCAGGCAGATCACACACTCACCCGCATCTTTAGTCAGCACGTCATCTGCAAGATAGACAGACAGGGAGACCAACAGGGTTAGTCACCAGCAGGAGGGTGGCACAGGGTGGCACAGAGCAAACACAGGTCCAGCAACTACTTGCATGAGCTGAACCTCTATGCTTCGTGTGCAGGGGACACAGCAATGGGAGAAATTTGCAGTAACTGTAAGAGCCTTCTGACCAGTCTTCTGAGTCAGGCAGTAGGAGCAGGGAAGAAAAGTGCTTACTCAGACTGTTCAAGGACAGCTTTGGAGAAGTCACGTGGTCTGGGATGGGAGGGATTAGATTTCAGG